TGCTGCTGCTGCTGCTGCTGCTGCTGTTGCTGCTGCTGCTCATTTCTCACTTGGCCTTCTGAGAGAAGCCCAGTGGCGGTTAGTTCCTCCTGCATCTGCCTGTAGTCTGCTGCTGTTCTTGCGGGTGTTGCTGCTGCTGTTGCTGCTGCTGCTGCTGCTGCTGCTGCTGGGGGGAGCAGGTGAGAGAACTTCTGCTGCAGTTTGTAGCCGAGAGCATCGACTTGCAGCAGCAGCTTCAGCAGCGATAGAGTGCTTTGCATGCGCTGCCTCAATTGCTGCTGCTGCGAGCTGCGGCAGCAGCACCCAAATGCTCGCCTACGCTGCCGTTGCTGCCATTGCTGCTGCTGCTGCTGCTGCTGCTGCTGTTGCTGCTGCTGGGGGTTGCCACGGCAGCAGGCACACGACTCTGAAAGCTCCTTTATGCAGTGCTGCAGCGGACGCAGCATCGACACAAACGGGTCTGCTGCTGCTGCTGCTGCTGCTGCAGCTGCAGGGCCTGCAGCAGCGCCGGCCCCTGCAGGAGCAGCAAAAGGAGCAGCAGCAGCAAGACCTCTTACGGCAGCAGCCTCTGGGGGCAGAGGCAAACCCGAAAGCCCGTTCATCTTTCTGTGCTGCTGCTGCAGTTGCTGTTGCTGTTGCTGCTGCTTCTGCTGCTGTTCCTCTTGCTTCCTCTTGCTGCGGCTGCTGCTGCCGCTGCTGCTCCTGCTGCTGCTCCTGCTGCTCCTGCTGCTGCTGGAGAGCAAAGGGAGCGTCCCCCCGTAGAGCGGGCCCCACACTAACCCAGTCTAAACCCTAAACCCTAAACCCTAAACCCTCGGCGGCAGGCCCTGAGGCACCCCTGCCGGGCCTCCTCATTCCTTCCCACACAAGAAGCGAAACGCCTCGGGTTTAGGGTTTAGGGTTTAGGGTATAGTGTTTAGGGTTTAGGGCTTAGGGTTTAGGGTTTAGGGTTTATTGATATCTGCATGCATGCTCTTGGGGCTGGGGGGTGTTGTGGGCAGCAGACGTCTTTTTACTTTTTGCTGCAAATCTTCACGAAATAAAACAAAATAAATTAAATTAAATTAAATAAATAAACAAAATAAAATATTTAAATGCAGAAACAAATCAAAAAAAACTCGGCGGTCTCCGAACCCAGCCTCCAATTAAACACCTGCTGCATGCACGCATGCATGCATGCATGCATAAAGATAAAAATAAAAATGTAAATATATATATATTATATATATGTGATATCTGTATAATATATATATATATATATATATTATCTGTATATATATATATATATTATGTGTACGTGTATGTATAATATCTATACTGTCGATATACAGATATCATATGCATGCATTGTATCTATACTGTCTATATATATCTATATCTATATCTATATCTATATCTATATCTATATCTGTATCTATATCTATATCTATATCTATATCTATATCTATATCTATATCTATA